AATTAAGTATACGTGGAATATCATTAATGACAACTTGTTCACATTTATTTATTAAATAATATTGAATTTGTTTTATTATATATGGAACGTAAAGTTTTCTAATAAATTTTGTCAATTCTTCAACGATGAACTGAACACAGTTTCGTGGTATCATTGAGTTGTTATACAATGATAACCAGAATTTACCCAAAAATGTTTCTAAATTAATAGAAAAATCATCAAATGTCATATTCATTTTGAATATGTAAAAATGAATGTGATAAATTATAATTTATAGTCTTTTAACATTTAATTTTTATATCTATTTAAATCACTTATAAGACGATTGACACATGTAAATGATGAAGTTTTTTTTGTAACTTCATAAATGTATTTTTCTAGAAATTCCCAAACGTGTTCACACTCTACTGAGTAAGTTGCATTCAATGCGTGTATGATTTTAAAACATGTGTCTATTGCTTTTAAGGGGGTAGGTAAAACATATCGCTGATCATTTATTACTACAAACGAACTTTCGATGTTATCTAATAGTCCAATGATGACTACAAAAGGCTGAAGAGTCAATTTATGCTGCTTGTAAATCCTAATTTTGCTTTCTATATATGGTTGTAGTTCATCAATAGTCTGTAGAAAAAAAAACAATAAAATTGAAACTGAAACTTGAATTGCAATGTTAAAAAAAATTACAACAGAGATTGTAATATTTTTTAATTCAAAAAATTCTGAAACACTTCGTTTTTGAAGGAGTTGAAATTCATAAAAATTTATTTACCTCTGCATGAAAAAGAAATGATTGCTTAATGTCAGTTATATTTGGTCTCCAATGTTTTCCTGATTTTTTAGATTTCTTGTTTATTGTACCCAATAGTAATGGAAGTAATTCAAGGGCAATAATCTCAATATTACCAAGATCTTTATAGAAAATATAGTCATGAAAATTACAATTAACGTTAATATTTAAGTCGTTAAGACAAATGAAGTTACCTGAATCGTTCGCCAATAATATATTATTAGTCTTGAGGTATTGCGATACTTGATAATCTTTTCGTTTCTTACTAATATTAATAATTTTTTTTGCAACCGATGGCCATTTTAGAATTAATTTATCAACTGCCTCTTTATGAATTTGTTTAAAATCTGATTCAAACTGTAACAGAAAATTTCATTTGCAAACCTTTGTATTTAATACATGCATCAATATATTATAATACTTTTATTCAGAGGAATTAACTATGAAATTTACCAATAAATAAGCAGATGGTGTCTTCAATACATTGAATGTATTAAAATACATATCAATTCGTTCTGTATGATAAGCCAATCTTTCTTTAAAACTTTCTTGCCATTTTAAAAGCACTTCACTAAATGGTTCTATATGATTTTTAAGCCATAATAATGAATCACTCAACGGTAAAATATCGTTTGTATTGCTTATTTCATCTATAATTTAAAAAAATAATCAATAGAGATATTAGAATAGTAAACAATTATTGAATGAATAAAATTAAAAAAAAGCTAATTTCATCATTTTTAAAAAACAAAAATATTGAATAGTGTAAGTTATTCGAATTTAAAAAATATTTACGTTGATCTATATTAGAATCAGAAGTAAGGATTTCTAATTCAAATAAAGTTCTTCTCAGATTGATATATTTATCATACAGAAGTCCTCTAGCACCAATAGGACCATTTGTGCCTTTTGTCCAGGGTGTATAATATAAGTCTTCTTCTTCATCAGGAAATAATTCTACTAGATCTTTTGTCAACTTTTTAAATCTCTCAGCTGTAATCCTAATTGAAAACAATTATAAAGAAAGTTAATTTTCAACTTCCCAAAACATAATTTAAAATATTCCATCAATAGCTACGTACTTGAATTTTTTACTGTTTTCTAATTCTGATTCAATGATTACACTAGTGAGTAACCGTCGGTTTATTGTGTTCTTAAGATTAAATTCTGCTAGAATAAGCCTTCCACGAAAACATTTTAATATAGGTTTAATTTCATTTTGAGAGTTTCCTAAAATATTCATTGACACAGAAAAAAGTAAATAAATACATTTGAAAGGAAGAACTGGAAATCTTACTGGATGATGTTGAAGACAGAGGCATAATAGGAATTTTCGATGTTGGAAGATTTGAAGTTGGTGCAGTTTTTTTTTTTGGAATTGGAGAGATTGTTTTTTCATTAGAAATAGAATTGAGATTTGAAATAAAAACTTCATTAAGACCGCTGATAGTTGATTCAAGCAAAAGATTTGACTCTTCTAAACTATCATCATGATTTACATTATTATTGTTTTCAATTATATGAATACTTTCGTTATTAATAATAAAACACGATTTATTATATTTCGACATAAAATTGTTATATTCTTTTAAGAATTTATATCTTAATCCAATTTGTGGAATGAGTTCAACAATAAGGGCATCAGTTAAATTAGTAAAAACTTCTTTATCAACTATATTGACTGTAAAAGTAACAAAATTTGAGAATGAATATAAATTATATAGAGAATTGAGTTTAACCTAAAAAATTTTTTGAGTGAAACTATTAATTCCTCTGAACACTAATTATTATAAATAAATCAATTTTTCATATTTTAAATTTGAATAAAGAATACTATTGTTGAAATAGGTTTTTTTACTTACTGTTGAAATGATCAATTAAATTTTCTAGATTCCACTTTTTTAAAAGTTGTTTAACAAACTCATCCATTGTTACAAACTTAACACACAATTTATACACAAATATCACTTTAATGTTGACAATGGAACAGACAATTTTGATTTAATAACAATCTCATTTATGATCCATCACCTTCTCGGTTTTTACACAAAGATAATATTACACTATATTTTTATAATGTATTTTCACGAACAATATACGTTGTCGATAGAAAAATCCACGCTTGAGCAGCGACTAAATAATACGAAAATTTTTATTTTGCCACTAACAATGTGATCTGTATCTCTTTCTCAGAAAACTGAAGCTCAGGCGGCAAAGAATCACAACAAAACAATGAGTGAGACTCGCAGTAGCGACGCGTGTCTAGATATTCTAAAATTACTCGAAACAGTTGATCAACTCTATTATTGCGATTTATTTAATTCTAGCGTTACTCAAAACAGTTACATAGATGGCGCTAGAATTTATAAATTCAAAAAATTTAAATAATTGATCGGTAAATTATCGATCAATAAATCAATGAAAAAAATGTTTGTTTTTTTCGTATTTTTAATTATAAATTCAATTATCAAAAAATGAAATCATTTTTATTTATTCATTAACTAATTTAATTATCTTTTATATCTTATCGCAATTTTTAGTTCAATTAACAACAAATAATAAAGTAATCCGAACCTAATTATCACGTTAATTCTATTGCAGTTTGTTGTAAATCGTACCGCAGGCAAAAAAAAGTTTTTTTACTGCACTTTTTATGTGAATTTTACTTCACCTTTTTTTTCCGTGAATCCCTCTTTTTATTCATTATCCATTGCCAATTTTCAATTATCTTTTTAAGCTCTTTAACTCTTCATCTACAAACTCTCACTGTTTTACTTTTGTACGATGTCATTTATTGCTATTTCATTTATGTAGTCAATGTAATACCTAAGTTTATTGCAGGTGAGAAAACTAGTTGTTTTCTAGAATTACGACCCTGCTATAAACCAAAAAAGATTGAAAGTTTTCATGTGACTTAAAGCTGACGTAGACTTGGTAACGACTGAAGATCGTAGACAGCATGTGAGAAGATACGTGAAAAGAAGAATGATGTAAATGCTTGTTTGAACTAGAGTATCAAAGCAACCTGTCGCTTCATGATATACTTTTGTAAATTTTCTAAGTTTATTTGTTGAATTAACGTCAAGTAAATTAGTGCAATCGCAAATTGCATATTTATAAAGCTAAAAGCTTCATAATTACGAATAATTAGGATGTATTATGAGTAATAATTTCATTTAAATTTGCATTCATGATATTTGCATTTTCAAATGTACATTGAAGACTATATTTTATCATAAAAAATAAATAAAAATAGCTGTTAATAACATAACGTTTTCAATTAAATTGGATAGAGTAGAAGAAAAATAAAATCTTTTTATGTTAAATTTAAACCAAATTTTACATCACTACATTACGTGATATCTTATGACGTTTTCTACTATATAAGGACATATATAAGTAGTAGTAGAAGCGTGAATGAGCACCTAATCCAATTAAAATTTTAATTAAATTCTACACTTGTCGACAAGACCAAACAAGAAAATATATATTGAAGAAAATTAGTAATTAATTACTTTTAAACCAGTATTCATGATTGAAATGTACTTAGAAAGCTAATAATAAAGATTGAACAATATCCTCAAACGGAAATTAAAACTCTCCGACGACTTCCAGACTTTAAACTCAAACTTGTTGGCTCCCAAGTGAACGTATAATAATATAAAAGAAATTCAGAAAACATAAAAGTATTTAACTAATAGATGAAGTTTCCATAAGATTTCTATTCATTGTTTCAAAAGAAAAAAGTTGATAGCAATTATAGAAATGACATATAAATAAGATAAGGATCATGAAAGATGCTATAAGCAGTTATCAGCACCAATCTAATAAATCAAGTTGAAGGAATTTGATTTTCTTCGTTGGCTTCATGGCCTTGTGTTTTAACGACTACAGACCACAGAAGCCTCATCAAAAAGTACTTTACATTGTATGCATCATGACATTTACAAAGATTTTAAAAATATTACTCTACTTTCCTACATCAATTAACCTGAAAAATTTTCAAGGAGTTTTCGTCGGATTAGAAGAAAAACATAAACTATGGTTTGATACACTAACATAATTTTAAGAGTTGATTAAAACTTGACTTTAAGGAGCTTAAATTGTAAACTTACTTTCTTAAACTATTGTAGAATCGATAATTGTTTAAAATAAATATTACTAAATACTATTATTTATGACAGTTAATTATTAAAAATAGGATATTTACCTCATTGTTGTTGAAATAAATTTTTCAGCATATTTAAAAACCATCTTGTTATTTGTTATAGAAAGTCAGTTTGTTTGAGTTGTAGACAACTGTTTAAGATTGCTTAACTTTCTGCAGCTAATTGAATTTTTTAGGAAAAAAATCAGGTTAATTAGAAATTTTTCATCATTATTCAAGAATTAATTATGATTGAAATTGAATAACTAATATTAAGTAAATAATTACAAAATTTACCTCAATTCTCTTTTTTTCATCAAGTTTTTGATAATATTCCCCGAATAAAAACTCCATCATCTATATTGGTTCGGAAATACTTTACAGAACCAACACCTTCCTTCATGACGGATGAGTTTTTCCAATGAAAGTTCCAAGACATTATCTAAGGATAATACTTTCGCATTAGCATGATCTTCTTTTGGAACATGGACAATGGAAATTAAAAAGAATTATAAAAACTATTTTATACTATATTTAAATATTCATGCAAAATGTTCAACATTTTGAATGGCTATCTCATTGATTAGATCCAAAATGTATAAGATCATGAAACATGAGTCAAAATTTTTTCATATAATTAGGATTTATAAAACTAAAATAATACCTGTATCCAATAATATTTGAATAAAAAAGCCATTATTAATAAAAATTAACATAATTTAACAAAATTGGTATAATTCTGTGACTTTAAACAAACATGAAAGCGTCAAGACATTAAGTTGTTGTTGTCTTTTCTCTGGTCGAGCTGCTTCTAGTATGTTCGTCGCGTCGGTTTCTTCAAAAGGCGGGAAACGAAAATTCAGTCGGTAATTATCATCAATCATTATTTTTGATGGTAAAGCAAGAAAGCTGCTATACCAACTATTGGTATTTAAAAAAGTTCTTACTGACTGTCGGTACAGTCCAATGGCGCTTATGCAGCACACTACGTATAGCGATAAGTTGATGACGTCATAATATTACGCGTAATGAAAGTTATGAAAGTTGTACAGAATCTTAAAACCGGCAAATAAAGTAAAATACAGTGAATATAATAATGAAATTAGTTTTTTCAATTTTTCAAATTTTGTTATTAATATTAATATGTGAAGCTGCCAATGACGACATTGATTTAATCGAAGAAAAGGCCAAAGATGGGTAAGCCGAAGTCATAACCTTCAATTTTTATACGTTACAGAAAACAAACTTTTTCTGAATTTATGTAATTGACATACCAGTAGACTTCAATAACATACATTATTTTATTTCAGACAATCAGATGAAGTCATTGACCCTAATTCTCTCTATTATAACAAACAAACCAAGCAATTGAACAAAGTAACGAAACTGAAGCTAAACAAAAATAATGATAACATGGAGTAAGTTTTTAAAAATAACTTTAAAAATTTAATAAAAAATAATCAAGTTGAGTACTTATTATTTAAATATAAAAATTTGTCAGAGATATCGATCTTCATCAAATGTGCAATGAAGTATTTAATGACGTTTTCAAACATCAAACGAACGATATATTTGAAGAATCTTTTTCTCGACGACTCATCAATATATTATTATCATCGGTTGATTTTCAGGTATTATACGATAATTTACAAATCAATTCACATTAATAATTTATGCAATATTATGCATTAAATTTATTCATTATATTTGCCTGCAGGAAAATAATAATTTGTTAACAGGAAGTATACTAATTGAATTAACGTCTTCAGAATTACAACAATTGAGAAATTTTGGCCTTGGTAAAGCACGTATCAGAGATGTGGACCCTTTTATTACATCAATATTTAAAGCATCTGAAAAGAATTTATTTTATGATATTTCATTGTTCTTGCGAGATATCGTTATATATTTAGTAATGCATGTAAGTATATAATTTTAGAAAATAATTTTCGAAGAATAAATGTGAGGTATATTCATTATTTTTAATTTCAGAAAGAAATCGTTATAATAACATGTATTGTACTGTATCTTACATGGTTGCTCTTGACAGTAAAATGGGATATTATGAGGTTCTTTCAAGCAAGTCTTTTCATAATATTCATCACAAGTTTCGTTATTGTATATTTTCAACTTCTTAAGGTTTTTTAGCTTAAAATTTTATTTTAAGTAACGCAATTTTAATAGATAAATCTAATACAATATTTTCTAGAATGCTGAAATAAAATTGACAACAAAACAATTCTTGTTGACCGAATTACCCGTTCACTGTCAACCTCATTTGATGTCATGGTGGGAAAAAGTGTGGCATATGTATGGTTGTAAGTTTTTTTTCTATAAAAATGAATTTTACGTTGTTTTTTATTATTTAATAGAAAAAAAATTACTGTATAATTATTTTTTAGCCTTCGAAGATTGTCAAAGATATTTCGAAGCAAGGGAAGACAGTCATTTTCTTCATGTAACACCAGCAATAGCATTGTCTCACATGATCAGTACATTTATGCTTCATCCAGCAGAAGCTTTTGGTGATGCAATTAGTAAATTCGTTTATCAGACCACAAGTAAGTCAATTATTGGAAAATCACTTAAAAACAGTTATTCTCATTATGATTATTTTCTTGGACTTTTCAGAAAATTTTTGGACTCCTCTTCAAATTATTTTCACTCCACTGATGACTATTGTAATTATCGTCCTTTCAGTGGTAGCTTTTATTTGTATAGCAGGAGGATCGCTTCGATGGTACATGTGGCCATTCACGCTATTTTCTTTAGGAAGATCTCGTAATAACGAAGCCCAAAGCTTAAGTAGTAAGGATGAAAGAAAAACGATTGAAGTGATTCTCAATATAAAAGTATTGAAAATAATTAAGTATTTAAAACTCATTTCAAATAAAGTTAATTAAAAATGTAACACAAATTTTTTTCAGGCATCTCCCAATATACAGTCAGATCAAATCGCTATAGACGCCGCTCCTGATAATAACTCTAATCAGAATATTTCGACGAACTCAGAACAGCAAGAATTGGTTAAAAATAATACAGCCAGTGAAAATTTGAGTATAAGTACTAGTGATCAGACAAGTGTCAATTCAAATATATCGGAAAATTGTTTGCCAGAAAATACGGGTAACAGTAAAAATAGAATCGAAGAAGTTGAAATATGTTCGTGAAGTGGTGATAATAAAGTGAGTTTTTAAATATTTTCTATTAAAAGTGATATTAGACATTGAGTTTTTAGTATAAAGTCATATTTCACAATATCTGATAATAATTGAATTATTTATTAGTATTTAATACTTTTATAAGAAAAATAATCATTAGTCTATTTAAATCATGATAAATTATACGTCATATAACATGAGCAACCATGACTGAATACTTGATAAATTATTAGATAGTATTAAGTGCGAAATTTGGATTTGTTTTTAATCATATTTATTATTATTGAATGTATGCAAACGATAAATAATTATTTTCTAAACAAAGAATTTTTCATTCTTATTAAATGTTTTTGAATATTCTCTGTGAGAAAGTTCATTCACATTCTAATAAACCAATTTACATTCGTTTACGGCAAATATTTAACTCTTGAAAAAACTACTTAAACATACGGTTTGCCATAAACGTGCTCAATATCTCTAAAACGTTTAGGTATATTACATGGTTGAAATGATGATTTAGAAGTAGTGGCAGTGGCAGCTTTGCTTTGCGCATCGTCGGCTTTTTGCAATCAGAACGGTTATGAGTACTCTTTATAGGGTCGGAAAGATCTTAGCCGCGTGTGTTTTGTATTCAAGGGTATATACAACCTACGCTGAATGTTGGACGTAACACATAAGGGTACTGCGGTCACTCGCTCGAAAGAGCACTCGACTCAATGTGCCGGCGTGTATGTACACATATAAATGCATCAGTGAGCATCCAAGAAGGCTATCAAAATAACGAACCCTCGTCTCATCTCCAAGAACGTTAATCGCGCCCGGCTGCACCTGAAATGGCAAGTACCAGCGTTGCATGCGAGCACATGAAACAGAGAAAGATAGGAAAGTGCAAGAATACGTGAAAACCATGTATATAGTACTAATACCACATCTGCTGCGGTTCCATTCATACTTTTTTACGTGGCATGGCTATACATTAAACGCAAACTACCGGAAATTGATGCTTGCATCATTGAAGCTCAAGTCTTATAGCCTAGATCTTAGGTATCATCTCTTCGTGGCTTTCCCTTATTAGTAGGTTCGACGAACTTGAACAAGAAATACTCTGAATAGATTTTATTAATGTTCAATCATCTAGCAGATATTTCAACAATATATTTTAACAGGATACTTTTAAGCTATTCTGAACAATGCTTGGACACATGACTGTAATTTTTTAGCTGCCGTTATTCATACATTGTTTTTTCACTTTTTATCAGTCGACCCATGTCAAATTTTTTATGTCAATTGATAGATTAGTTTAAATTTATGGATAAAATTCGTGAAAAATTTATTTTTTAAGAAGAGAACTGCAAATGTTATATTAAAATTCATAGAACATATATGAAAATTTTCCTTGAGTAGTCATGAAAAAAATCAATATGGTTCATTATAAAAAATTTTTTTTATCTTTTTTTAAAGTTTTTTTTTTAGAACTAAAATCGAAAAATAATCTTGGTTATCAAGCTCGAAATTTGATTTGGTTTGTAACTGTAGTGGAATCTTGAATGAATGTAACATTCAATTCATCAAGAACGTGAACAAGATACTTAAGGCTTGTCTATTTTAAACGTTTGTAGATTTAAATAAGCAACAGTACTCTTAACCATTTTTTAGGAGTTTAGGATATTCCCAGTCACATATTTGAGCTAATTTTAAAATAGAAATAAAACATGATGACTAGTCAAGGTTCGCTTGCGATAAGATATCTGAAGTGAGCCGCTTCAAAAGGTACTTGAGGCAATAGTTTAAGTCTTAATTATGGGTCTTTGGTTTAAAACACGACGTTATCGTTTAATTTCTTTGCGTTTCTGTATTTTTTTCATTCCTTGTCGCCATCATACGCGTGGTCGACGCCTATAAAACAGACAAGTATTTGTAATTCTGACAGATATGGTTCGTGAGTTATGTTGCTCGTAAAGTCAACGAATTTTACTGACACTCCTGACACATCCATTGGCGATTAATACATCCTACGCTCTTTAGCTTCTATATTCCAGTGGGATTGCCCCTTGCGTGACGAGCAAAACTTTATTGATCCGTCATTTAATAAAAAGATTCGGTTCGATAAAAAATTTTTGCTATTTTTCAAACCCAGCCGCACAGTAATATTGTCTATTTTTATACTCGTTGAATTCACATTCCTGATTTCTCTCAATAATTTTTTTAATTAATTTAGCTATTTTTAATAACTATTTTGATTAGTAGTATATTTAAAAAAAAAAAATATGACAAAAAGATCAATATATTTCAGTATTTTATTAATTGGAACCATAATGAATCTCCATTTAATATCAAACCAACTTCTAAAAGGTGAAGAGACATTCGAAATAGATCAGAAGTCTATTGGATTGATTTAATTGGAACACTTGGCCTAGATATTCAAATAAGAGTGACGTTTTTATCTGATATCCATAATATTTTAAGCATAATAGATGACAGTTAATAATATGATGAAGGTAAAGTGTAATTTAGTAGTTGACATAATGTTATTGTTTTCGCACGAGATTTTAACGGATCAATTAACTGATCGTATTGTTCTAATGACATAGATCCCCGATGAAACATTTGGTCATTGCTGTCATGAGGGATAACTAACGTAGAAGTCTCGCGTCATCGTGTCATTAATAATTGATGTATATCCAGACTAATAGCCATAATTATCTCGACCTAATATCCATCGTGAAATCTCTCGTTGCTTGATGAGTGCCTGCTTGACAGAGAGCAGGTCATTGGTGTGCCTTCAATTATCTACAGGTAACCAGGTACAGATTGACTTGACTTCTCTGAAAATGGAAGAGCTGGCAAGAAAGATAAAGATAGGATGAAGCAATGTATCTCATGTCTCCTCCAGAGATTCCAGCGAAAGGAAGGATAAAAATTAATTAACGACCTCGGGCGAGTATCGCAAGTAAAAGGATGGTGTAATTAATAGCGTGAGGTCATTGGAGGTGAGATTGAACGGCTGAACCTAAGATTCTTTTTATTCCAACATCGAATTTTCGATTTTGCTGGGTAAAGCGTGAAGAATTACGATGCATGAACCTGTACCATCTGTCATTATACCTGTCAAACCAACGCTCAAATGTTTTCTTTGTTGTAAATCATTCAACTTTATGTAATTATCTACACATTAGGTCCTGTAAAAATGTACAAAAATATCTACATTACCATGTACCTATCTCTTATCGAATATATTTTGCACTAATTTCCCTTATAAAGATAGAGTCCAGATAGACGTCGGTTAATTTCATTAATTATTTCTGACAATTTTTTATTTATAATTTAGAGACTCTATTAATTATTAATAGATGAGCCTTTATATATAATAACATTAATTTCCCATATATTTCTAACAAAGTAAATTAATTTTACAAATTTAATGAAAGTAAAAATGAAACAACTAGTAAAATTTCATCAATAGTTTATTAAATAGTTAATAAAGCTCAGTTTAATAAAATATTAATTTTGAAATATAAATATCAAACTTTGAAATTACATTTATACTATTTTTGATGTATCATATCGTTGACCAATGTGTTTCAGTGAGTTCGTGACTTGGTGATGGATCAACAGCCTACAACAGCTGATCGACACGTGTTGGATGTTACTTATTGGTAATAAAATGCTGGTAGCTTCAATTTTTAGGCCGTGCACACCAAATTTAATCCCAGTATAAAATTCAACCAACTTGGGTACATTCCCTGCGGATGGGGGATGTATTTTATAATAAGCTTAAGAGGTAGATGCATAGCGTGACTAACAAGACTATCGCGGCTGCCACAGTAGCGCAGAAGCCTGCTGGGTGACGCCCAATCTGAGAGTACCGTCTGTCTGTCAGTCTAATCTTGTCGACTGTACTCTCTCAGTGCATATATATTACTAACATCACTATTCGTGGTACAGAATAAAATTATTTTACACAGTCCATAAAGACTGATGCAAATGCAGTAGACTTTTTGACTTTTAATTCAGTAAATTATATTAAAACATGAATGTCAATGTAAATAATGTTATTCTGTGAATTGCTGCGAGATAAATATGAAAATTTGCTATATTCTTTTTATCATTTATCTTTTTCATAGCTATCATGCTTTCTATTCAATTTATCTATTGATAACATACTTATTATTAGATAGTTAATTATCAATGAGATTATAAATGTTTGAAAGCATGATAAATGTTAGAGTACAGTCTAAATTTGAAACTTTTAAAGAAGATGAGAAAAAGAAGTGTATAGACAAATTAATAGGAAAAAATTTCAAGCATAGATAAAAATTAACAATGCGCTCATAATTAGCACTATTCTCAAGTTTCTCAGGGGATTGTGGTCTAATTTGCCCCATTGAGACTATTCACTTTGTGCATCGAGAGATATATATAAGCATGTATAGGTATACATAATGGTATCAGCAACAAGACATAGCTTAGGGGTAGCTTCTCTCACTTACAAATGCAGCTTTATTAAATTATTCTAAGACCTCGTTTTACACGTGGGAGATTCAAATCTGGATTAGGTGTCCCAGATGGAATAGGCGTGTCTTTTACCAACGTGTCTCTCAGCATCGTTCCGAAATACAGGAACTTTCCCCCATGTTCATCACCCACTCTCTGTGAGAAAGCGCCTCAACGGAGCTTTTCCGTAAATCAAGATGCGATTAGGACGAGATCGAATCGCGCCTCGTCGTCGATACGTTGAGAGATATTACGAGGGTGTTTTGCTGCCAGGGAGAAGAGAAACAAGGGTTAGTTTGCCAAAAAAGTCCAACAAACTTGGGGGAGATTTTTTTTTTTTATTTAGTAAAGGATAAATTAATTTCTGCGGAAGATAGAATTCTTTTCTCATGTCATAAAAAATTCGCTTTTTTGGAACTTCAATTGATGAGGTAAAAATTTGTTTCAAAATAGATATTGATAAAATATTAATTTAGTTTATTTTTGACATAAAAAATCATTGATTAAAAATTTCTAAATCATTATATCATTAAAAATAATAAGTATTTCGTAGTATCTTTTTAGCAATAACGAAATTCCAGAATTTTCGGTTATAACCAATCCCTACGTTTATTGGTTTCATTTTATCCGTGATCCCTTGTTGTTATACTGCTATTGCTGAGAACAAAGCAGATGAAAATCCTTAACGGATATTGATTAGAAGTTTCGTAATTCTATATCGGCATCACGTACTCTTTTAGCAACGCGTACATGGCTGAAAGCATGTACAGTAATCTATCGAAAGTTACATTAGAAGAGAGAGGAGAAGAGGATCATGGTTAGAGGACGTGAGTGACTCGGTAAGTAAAACAAGTATGGGGTAGGAGAGGGTGGATTCGGTACCGCACCGTTACTTTCAATTAGATAATTGGAATAGTGGCCAACTCGAGCCGATGAGCACTTTGCGGTAACGCGAAACGCGTTGGTTAACAGAAAGCTTCCGCACGTTCTCGTTCCATGTGTTTTCCTGATCTCCCCTTGTGCTGGTGTTGTAGTTAATTTTACGAAAGAATTATTTACACTATCACAGTTCAATTATTCTTCGTAATGTAAATAATATACTACTGTAAGCTCAAAAATAATTTATCATTGAAATAGAAATTAATTTATTATTTGTATTTTACAGAAAAAAATGGATAAACAATTGAAAATGGATTCCATCAATATTACAAAATACACTGAAGAGAACGCATTCACGCATTGGCAGATTGTTTTTCCGATTGCTATCGAAGTCGGGTCAAGGGTGAAAGAGCAGAAGGGTGTCTGGTTCATCCACTAGATGAATGGATCGACGAAGGAGCATTGAACGGAAAGTATAAAGGCTACAGAAAATTGAGGAATCGCGCAAATGAAGAAGAAACAAAAATGTGACGTAACGACAGAAAGGCAGAAGAAAGAAAGGTAAAAGTGGTTGAAGCATACTCTTGTCGTTTTCCTAGAGATATTAAATATTAATCCTGCGAAATTACTGGCGCACCAGCAATCTTTCGGTCTTTTCGTGCCCGCCTCCTTTCTGTTGCTCTTGCAATCTAACTCACAAGAGTATATATTCTGTCCTAGTCTAAGCAATGAGGAGTAATCTAGGTTCTGGATTAACCCAGGCTCAAGATATCAGTTGGGATTTAACGGAGACAGTACGCTCTTCATTGTAACGAGTAAAAGAGGGAGCACGCCTGACTCCCTTTTTCTTCAGTTTTGTTTTTCTTTGTTCTTTGTGTACATTTTGTGGTCTGAATGATGCTTTACTTTTTATCACTTGTATGTTACGAACACTTTTAGTCATGTTTTTAATCTTATTTAATTCGTAAAATGACAAAATAATCTACAGGATTAATGGCCGTAATCTAAATTTCAAATTCATGGCTTGATTTGATTTAATTTAATTTAATCGATATTTGTTGAGTAAAGGAAAATTACACATGGATTTAGTTTGTTCAGACAAATATTATCCTTAGTAAACATTTAGAATTTAGATAGATTTCAAAGTTTGTTTTTCAACTATCATTGATATCATTTAGAATTAATTTTTCATTATTAGAAAAAGGCTATAAAAGTTAAATTGATTTAAAAAAAAATTATTATCTCACTTCCATGTGATTCGAAACGTCATAACAGGTCTGATGTGAATAATTTCTGAATTAGTGACACGCGTCGTTGGGAATTGTATCTAATTGTTAATTCCCTCCTGACATGTGCGTGTCTCTTTTGGTACATTCTAAACTAATAGTAATAACAATCATCTTTCTCACGTCCACTGATCACTTTCATATTGACATAATAACGATAAGCTCAATCGTTCAGTTCACACGTCTACTCATTTTCAATAATATATAGATAATTTGTGAGGGGTTTGAGGATCAATATATACATTTCTAAGAGAAACCAAAGTTTATTAGTTTCTCATAATCATCAAGAACAGATATATCATTCTTAATTATATTAATAATTTTATTAATATTTTAAATGATTAAACTTATATTTATTGATATCTTAATTTTAAAAAATGAACTGATAAGATGTGAAGAGTTGTAGATGGAATGTTAATAAAATAATGATAGGAGAATATCAAATTCCAGAATTTTTTTCTTGAGTAGTTTTCACTTCATTTTCATGGATTTCGTAATTAACGCAATATCCAATTTGCTTTCTGTTCCGTATTTTTCTTCTGTACATAATTATTCCAACAATGCAGCAACCAACGAGAGTAATAGTCAGAAGACTACTTGCAACAATATGAAGTAATGTACCCATTACACCATTATATTTATTTTCTGAAATAACAGTTATTGTTGCATAAATTTCCTCATCTGAATCATCATAGAGACGAGCATAGCAGCTCCATTTTCCAATATTTTTAGGATTATATTCTGAAAAGATTGATTTCAATTTGTAATAATGATAATTATTAGGTTCATTTGAAATTAATGTATCAAATTACCTTTCAGATGCAGTGAACAAGACTTTCGTTCTTGTGAAGTAAAATACTGAGCTGATTTTTCTTTAAAAATTGTTCGATAATCAGGACGCAGCCATCGACAATATCTAATGATAGCATCTTTTTCAGGCGAAACATTGCATGTAAGTATTGATTTTTCTTCATCACTCATATTAATCACATTTTGATGTGGATAAAGATATGAATCTGTTTATAAATATTTTATTAAACATAATATGAGCAATATAAAATATTTTTCACATTTCTAGAATAAAGCGTTAAATTCTAAGAATAAAAGATAATCAGAAGAAATGAAAATTGAAGCTAAACTGGGATCAGAAAATTTCTACGTGTATTAGAAAAGATGATTTTCCCATAAATACCTGTCACTGTTACTGGAACCACAACTTCTACTTCACCACCTTCAAAAACACCCAGTCGACAACTCCAATTGCCTGTATGTGCATCAGTGGCATTCTTGATTCGTGCAGCACAAACACCAACTGCTAGACTTTCGCTGTCATAAGGTAAAGTGTTTTCTGAACTTCCACTATTTGATAGCAAGTAAACTGTGCCGTTAGGACTTTTTAGCCAGCAGTATTCGATTGGTGCAGATGTTTGACATTTAACCTGAAATATCGAGTATGGAATTTCCAAACTATCATTGAAACATTTGGAATACAGATGGATTCAAAAAGAACATATTGACGGAAATGCCAGAAACTCTTTTGAAAGGAACTACCGCATTATATTTTTTTTAACAAAGAAATCTTTCATACCGTTAATTCATTGCCTCGTTTAATATAAGTGCGTTCCGATATAAATTTATCTCCATTATAAGTTTGATTATCACGAACTGGTACAAGTGCACTGAGAACTTTTCCTGCAAGCCCTAGAGAACATTTCCACATTCCAAAATCATCAGCTGATGGCTGTCGTATCGTTATTCCACAATCAGAATATCCTCCTCGAGATGATCTCTTGTATCCATTACCATAATATTCGTACCTTTTAACCATTCAATTAATTTATAATGAGCATCAAAAAGTTATATTTTTATATTCTCATATTCACAAGCACGTACTTATCATTTCCTATCCCCTGTGGTAAATTTATTGTCATACCATCAGGCCGAGTGAATACACAAAAGTATAAGTCATTTTCAGGAATTCTACACATCAAATGAAATCTTTGCGTACTCGTTGTATTCACCGTGACATTGACGAAGTCTGGATCTGTAGTAAAAAATATAAAGCGTAAATTTCAAGTATTTAGAAATGTTAATTTATTAAAATAATTTAAAAATTTACTGTAGACATGAATATTAAATCTTCTTTCTGCAAAATCAAGACTTCCTGAAACTAAATATCGAAGTATCCAAAGCCCATTATGTGAATTACCAACTTCTGGTATTCTATGAATACATCTATTATTTTCCAAAACGAAAATTTGTCCATCTGGTTGAGTTAAAGTGCAATATCTCGATGCAAATAGATCGAATAATCCTATTTCTTTATATGATCCAAGACTCCACCACATGTTCATCTCAAATTCGATAAAATTAATAATTTTTTTCAAAATTGAAAATTTTTTTTAGTGCTTTAATTCATCTTACTAAATACCTCATTCATGGTATCACGCTTAGGTGGTGGCCGTATTGTAAAACTGAATTTTCTATTTTTGTAAGGCCCAGAAGCTTCCCAAATATGCCATGCACCATACTTTGATGCATCAATATGCATTCTTACGCCGCATCTTCCTATCCGTTCCATATTTGGATTTATTACGTTTGGATTAAATAAATCATACTTGCGCACATCCTATTAGTACACATTACACATAATTATTCCTAGATTATAATTTTATTCAACAAATAATTACAAACTCATCACTTACGGTCCGATTGAAGCGTTGCATTAAAGTACAATTTGTAAGATTATCAAATATGTCATGTGAAGTTACTGTTAAATAATTATTTTCTACAGTATCAAAAACATCAGAAGGTATAGGATCTACGCCCTAAAAATATTAGTTTCTTATTTCATTATTTACGTTAGTGTTTTTTAAATCTCTACCTACCTGGTTGATATACAATTCGATTGATGAAACATTTTGATAATTGACATTATTAACACCTGTCCAATTCATACGAATAGTCCAGTTACCCGCATGATCGAAATTGATATCATTGATGTAAAAATTACACCTTTCTTTGAGTCCTATATATTTAGCATTCGTAAGATTTAAATCAGGATAAATACTATACACAATATTATTGTGAATAGCAGTACACTGAGTCACATTTCTTGGTGGTCCAGTAGTGAATAATGTTTGGGATAAGCCAACAGTAGCAGAAAGTATAGCTGAAAAAATTCATTGTAATTTTTAAGTTCGAAACACCTTTTTAACGTAAGATTTATAGTTTTCTGATGAAGGTAAAATACAAAAAATATTCGAAAGGTTTTGAATGGGGAACATTGACTATAATGTGATAAAAACGAGAATATGTTGAAACAGAAAAAAGGGTAACCACATTTCTTTAAAAGATTGAAGAACGATTGTTACAGTGAATGGGTGGCACCGTAAAAAAAACTAGAAATCTGCACAGAAACTAAGAGTAAACTTTACTTGATACGCTTTGGTCGAATTGAACCACTACAAGATGAATCGTAAGAGCAATGAGGAACTTCATGACTGACTGATACTCGTTGTGACTTTGAAATTCAGATTGTAAAAACAATTTCTTATATATCGTGATAACCTGTCGGTCATGTATATTGAGAATATTGGAATTACATATCGTCTTGTCTATAAAAATAACTTAAAATCTTATCTTTTTATTGCTTATCAATAGATGAATTTTAGCATCATTACTGGCCTAATGTTTTTTTAATTCAATATCCTGAAAAATCATCATATATCCATTTTAAACAAAAAAAAACTCAAGTATTGTGTGTATACTACGTTCTATTTTTTAATTCACTGAGATTGTACTACATTGAGAAAGCCTTCAATACTGCAGTAATAAAAGATAACAGCTATTTGTGCATTTCTAGAAAAAGCTCGTTGCATAATTGCCTCATTACTTAGAGATCTACATATTTATCTACTTCTTATTTAAATGATTGAGGAAAAAAGTGCTTCTGTTATGCGAAAAATATTTTTATGTAACCTAAGCTATTTATTATCATTATTATTTCTTTGAAAAAATACCTATTATATGATATGATTGAATTATCAAATCTGAAAATATGCCAATTGAATTAGCGTTATATATTTTCTGATTACTGTCGTACTGTAACATTGGACATCGTATCTAATCGTTCATTCTCTCGCAGTCTACACCTCTCTTAATGCATACTCAATAACAATAATAATTGTCTTTCTCACGTTAAGTCGTCACGTTCTTATTGATAAAATAAACATCACCATATGTACATTCCACGCATCATTTTGTTTCGTGTGATAAGAAATTTGTAGCGGGATTTAATATCAACATGTAATGCATTCTGCAAATGCTAATGTAGACACAGTTTATTCAGTCACCAGAACTATAAAAACCAGTTAAAACAGCAAATTAAAAAACAATTTTATTATATATTTCAAAACCTTATTTATTACATTTTGTTGTGATTCTATTTCCAAATTAATTCTTCTCTATCATTTCTTTTGTTTATTTGCAATTGCATTTATTTTCAGTTTTACAACAATGCACTATAAATTTAACAATAATATTTATTCAAAATATCCATTGTTGTATAATGGAATATAGTAGCTTCTAAATGAATCATCAAAGCATTGATTTTAGACTACTATTGATTAATATTAATAAAATAGTTAATGAGAAAAATCAACTTTTGGTTTTTCTTGTGTAATTTGAACATCAATTTCATTGATGTTATAATCAATATTATTGATTTGACGTCTAAGACATGTTTTTTTCCGGTATAAAATGAATCCAGCAATGAAAAACATAACAGGTATTATCGTAACTAAACAAATGATCACTATACTAAGTGTAGCAGTTGATACACTTTCCAAAAAGCTTCTATACTTATCTTTCTGATTAATTTCCATCGTTGCAAATACTTCAATGCCTAAATCATCTGACAAACGAGCGTAGCAGGACCACTTTCCAATATTGAGTTCGTTATATTCTAGAATCATTAATTTTATAGTATTATGTATAAAGTTAATATATTATTACTAAAATAAATTAGTGCGTTTACCTCTTATCTCTAATGAACAAGCTCTCACTCCCTGTGAAGTTGAGTATTGAGCTGATTCTTCCTTATGAATTCCATATCCATCTGGACGAACCCAACGACAATATCTGATTGTAGCTTCTTTCTGAGGTAAAACGTTACAACCAAGTTTGATCTTGGCATCAGAACTTGTTATATTAATTATGCTTTGATTTGGATACATATAAGACTCTGTAATAAAAATTTAAAGTGATTACATGAGACAGAGATTATTATTTTGAGCTAATTATGATGATACATACCTGTAACTGTTACCAGAACTGGAACTTCTTTTTCAATACCATCTATAGTTCCCATCCGACAGCTCCAATTACCTACATGTGCATCACTCGCATTTTCGACTTTAGCACCACATACTCCAACATTTAAACCTTCTCCTTCATAAGTTAGAGTGTTATCTGAATTTTTATTCTTTGATACTGAATAAATTGTGCCATTAGGACTTAGTAGCCAACAATAGTCCAATTGTGTGAATGTTTGGCATTTTATCTATATCACAATTATTAATAAATATCAGTGAATGCACATAGATTAGTTAGTATCGTATTTATTTATTATAAATTTTTTGTGATTACCTTAAAATCATCACCACGTTTTGCATAAATATTCTCTGATGGAAGAATGTAATTGGGGTTGAATTCATCATCAAGAGATACATATGCACTCATAATTTTGCCTCTGTGCCCAAATGAACATTTCCAGACGCCAAAGTCCTCATTTATTGGTTGGCGTATTGTTAGTCCACATTCTGTATCAGTTTCTTCGTTGGGTAAATATTGTTTATATCCATTACCGTAATATTCATATCTGAAAATAGATTAAATAGATTTAATATTATATCAAACGGCATGAACTTTTGTCGATGATAATTTACCTATCATTCCCTATTCCCTGAGGTAAATTGATTGCTACACCATCAGGTCTAGTAAATACACAAAAATCTGAATTTGTTCTGATCATTTTACACATTAGGTTTATTCCTGTATCATAGCTGATACTAACATTCACGTAATCAGGATCTGTATTATTTTAAATCGTCAACACAAAATTATTTAATGATTAAACGATTGAAAATTTGTTTTATAAAAAAATTACAATTTACAGCATGAATTACTTGAAGAATTTCTGAAAAACTAACCGCGAATCTCCACCATGAACTTTTTCTCCATAAGATTGATTTTTTCAGGAATTAAATATTGGATTATCCAAAGTCCTTCATGATCACGGCTTACTTTTGGTATATGATAAGTACAACTGTTATCTTCTATAAGAATGGTTTTTTTGTCTGGCCGTGTAAGGTTGCAATATGTTGGTTGAGAAAGGCCTTCCACTTTTATTTCTTCAGTAGATCCCAACAACCATAATAGATTTTCCTATCAATTTATCAAAATTGATTATCAGTTATTTATGATAATTTTTTTGTGTGTCATTAAGAAAAAATTTATATAAATTCACCTGACTCTTATAAGAAGGTTGAATCGATATATCTATCCAAAATTGAAATTTTTCATACAAAAATGGTGCGGATTGTTGTTTTATATACCAGTGTCCAGCTTTAGATGAATCAACAAGCATACGCACACCACATTCTCTGTGAAGCTCCATATTTGGAGAGGTTTGAGTAGAATTTAATAAATCATAAATATCTTCACCCTAAATCATACCATAATCAATTTATAATAAAATACTAATTTGAAATTTTCATTAATATATGTCTCAGAGAGTTTAAAAATTAATTACCGCATAACCTCTATCATGAATAAGCAGACATTTTTTGATATCATGAAATTGTTTTTGTGGAAAAACAGTTACATAAGTTCCTTCTTCAGTTGAAAAATAAGTAAAGAATTCGTTACTTGAATCTCCTGATGATGTCTGATATGCTGTGCTAATGTCCTAGAAATAATTCATCATCAAAATTTGTAAAAATTATTATAAAAATTAAAAAAAAATATGTTCTTACTTTGATCAAATGTATTTCATATTCTCTAGTATTTTTAAATGTTTCCCCATCAACGGTCCAAGAAATTGTCATATTCCATTGTCCTGCATGTTTCAAATTTAAATCAGTCAGCCAAAGAGAACACTTGTCTGAGTGAAAATTTTTGTGTCCAAAAGTCAAATTTTTTATTGGATGAATCTGATAGATTTTATCATTATGCGTAAGGAAACATTCGAATTTTTCAGTTGGTGCTTGTCCACTTTCCAATGTAACTGACTTTCCGACATTTTCTTCAAACTTGACTGAAAAAAAGTAGATAGTATCAAGCGTTATAAAAAATATCGATGGTTCAATGAACTTTTTTTTATTGATTTTGAATGATAGTTAGAGTAGGAATCTAAGAGGAAATTCTCCAAAAACATTAATGTACGCTACGGACAATGTGATTGAGACTAGGATATATCAAAATGGAAAAGGGTAACCACATTTCTTCGGAAGATTGGTAAACGATCGTTACAGTGAATGGGTGGTGCCACAAAAAAACTATAAATCTATCTCGAAACTAGGGGCAAACTTTACCGGGTACGCCCTGACCAAATCGAGCGACCAAAAGAAGAGCCGTGAACGCGATGAGACACCTCATGACTGACTGATTCCCCATTTGACTTTGAAATTTCGAGATTTAAAACTATTTCTTTTATGAGATGATAACCTATCGGTCGTGTACATTAAGCATATTGGGATTATTTATCTTGTCTTTTATTACCATTATGATTTGAATAAAATTTATTCGATATATTAAGATTGAGCTAAATGTTTTCATCATTTTTAATATGATTGTTTTCATTCAATCTGAACAATTTGTCTAATTCCTGCACCTTTGAATCATTGAAAAATTATTCTCGCTTATCTATTCTTTCATGATGAAATCAAAGAATGTATATTTACATGGTATTGAACTGTTTTTTTTTGTTTCATACTGTTTATTTCATAATGATTACTGAGATAGGTTTAATCTTACGAGTAAATTACATTATCTTGTACGTGCAGATTCGTATGTTTTTTGAGCGATTAACACAAATAAATGTCTGATAAATTATGTCGTTTAGTTTCATTGGATTTTAATCCTGAGTCTTTAGATTTTATTATGTTCTATAAAAATCATTACGGTGAGAATGGATATTAATAATATCTGTGATTGATGCCATTATTTAGTAATCATCTCTGATGGAGTAAAAATTACAGATGAGAATACTCAATATCTCATGAAAATGAAATGCTATCATACTGACTTTTGTTTGAGACAAAAAGCTGCTAATGGCTTGTAATTAAAAAATAAAATCTATCATCAGTCCGTCTGTAATGTCATCATTATTACTCTCCAATTTCCTAAATCCAATTAGCAACGATCATAAATTATGGTACTATTAAATTTTAACGTATTACAAGCGAACATTCAGCTGAGAAGCACACAAATTTAATAGATATTCGTTTTGATGGGTTTCCAAGTCGGATAGTCAATTACCATAATCCTGTTGAGTATATTTGGTACACTCCAACTCAACTCCCTGCTTTTGTCATTATTCTGCTCTATTTATGAGTAAGACTAATATCAATTCAATATCATAATAATTCAAATAAATAGTCTCTTATTCATCAAGATCTACTACCATTTTTATACCACCTATGGTTGGCTTTATTTATCAATTATTAAAGGAAATGATGATTTGAATGCATTAATTTTAAGAGCTTTTCGTTGATGATTTGTATCTAATTATTTTCTTAGGATAAGCTCTAAGATTAGAATATACAGTGCGATAATAGTATCTAAATACGCGTCTATGTATATGACAATAACAAGATTCTGTGAGTGAGAAGCTGGGCTGCCACGATTAACTACATATTAAATGTGACGCCCATTTGTCAGGTACATAATAGAAACGTTGCTCTGGTGCCATATGTCGTGCGATACGTGTTAACCAACGTGCAACATTCATAGTGTATACAGATAGAGGTCAGATGAGATACACAATGAACATTGGTTGCTATGTCGTTAAATGCCTATGGAATAGTATACAATGCATCGCAAAAAACGACAAATAACCAGGAAGAGAGAATGTGGATCGAGTCTAAATCTACAATAGCACAAAACACTTTTATATCCACATCTGAAGTGTAGATGAGCTGTAATGGTGTATTTTTGCCTCAATTTATACTCCAACATTATCAAGCTATTCACCATCAATGCTACAACACATTAATTTACAACACGTGTTAATCTCTAGTTGTTAAATTTAATCACTTCTGTTTACCAACTCGCTGATTCTTTATATTTCAATTTATCCGCATTTCAAAGCCGTTTTTTTTTTATATTATGAAAAATATTTATAAATTTTTCTAATAATAGAATAAAATAAATGTAAGCTACAGCCATCGTTGAAATGCCATGAGAATATTCATTCATCGTGTTATCACATATTTCATTGACGTGGCCATGTTTATATTAAACTGAAGCAATAATGACAGCAAGTGGAAAAATAAGTGAATGTAAAAATAATGCCTACACATCAATGCATAGGTGGACAAGTTCAAAATGCAATCGCGTGCGTGGAAATGAAACCATGTTGAGAGAAAACGGATGTCCGAGCAGTTTCATTGGGACGGCTTTTACCTCTGTATCACTGACAATGTTCATCTTCTCTACTATAAAGTTAGCAATAGTACATGCACGTTATCGACCGAATGTAATTTGGGGTGTACCACATGTGTTGTTTAGTACAACTCGGAAAATTTGCTATCTCCACATGAAAATCACTCGATGCGAAAACTCTAGGTTGGGAAATGCTAAACCGTTTGTTAAACATCGTATGTAAAATTATGTTTGATTGTACAATTAATCATCTGTAAATTAGACATCGATACTTTTATTTACCCACGTGTATTTTATAAACAAACGTGTTTGAATTTAAAAAATAGTTTCAACTTGAACAAGCATTCAATTATTCATGTTTTAATCCCTTTAAATTGCAAGAGAATACACAAATTTAAAATTGATCTAAAGAATTCTAGCGAAAAAGGTAGATAACGATGATGTCTATGTTTTTTAATTAACTGTATTTAATTGATAATGTACGCAAAAAAAAATCTTGCAATGAAATACTTCCAGTAATTTTACGTGAAAATTCATACTCGAGTTGAATATTTAATTTTTTTCTCGAACATTCAGCTTTATATTTAATTACTTTATTTTTTAACAAATAATACTGACATTGCAGCCATCAAAAATTCATAGCAAATAAAATGAAATTTACATTTCTTTTTTTATTGCTCAGCACTATTCTTTCTTATTTTTTTGTTTTAATCTTTAACCATTTTTCTAACTATGCTAGCCATATGTTGAATACAAAATTTACACGTAAATGTAATTTTTTATTCGCCAGATTTGTTGCTGCAAGGATTAGGTGATGATGGAAGAGCTATAAGGGGAAATCCACGTTATTATGCTCGAAACCTGAGGGGTTAGAGATTATTGCACATGATATATAGGTACACTATGTGTACTCGACGGACACAACACCTATCCTAGACTTAGGAGAACATCCAGTGGTAAAACAGACGGAGTAAGTACTTAGATATACCTATATATAAATTAATTGTAAAGCAAAGGGTGCATACACGTTTTACTCTCAAGTGGGCCCGCGAGATTAGAGGGTTAGTTTTTGTTGGATTTGCACAACAATGCCTGGATCAGACGAAACACAGCATGTGCAAGAAAACCCACACAGCTTGCTGGCCAACCGCGCTTTCGTTTCAAGGGATCCTTATTAATCCCTGATGCTCTCCAATTTGATACATTTTTATCCTGTCGGTTTTTTATCGTCACATTCTATACTACTGGCTGTTATTGTTATCACCCTTGGGTGCAACAGTGCAGTGGAGATCTACGTCATTGAGCACGCAATCGGATATCTATCCCCTGCCCGTAACCGCATAAAATTAAATCCGCTTGGATTTAATCAAAGTCCTTTTTATTTAAGGAACTATTCTAGTCTATAATGTCCCAAAAAATCTCTTTTTAGAAATGAAAATAACCATGGTGACTACACTAAGAAAAAAATTTATTTCATACAAAAAGTAATTCATTCGATAATTATTATCGAAATTTTATAGAGTCGCAATGAAATATTTCCTCGAAATTATAAATATTTTAATAAAATCATTTTATTTAATTAAATGAATAAAATATCATTTGTTTTCATACTTCTCGTAACATTGAAACAAATGACAAAATGTGTTTTTGATAATAATATTATAGGATCGAATAAAATATAATCTTGAGAATACTCCAAGTTCTTTTTATTCATTAAATAATAATAAATTCTTTCATTAAACGAAATTTTTTTCTTAGTGTATATGATATTACCATTCAATAGTAGCTCCTATCTTACAGAGGATAACATTCGGAATATGATTTATGAAAATGAGTAATATCTTCTTTCAAACTTAAAAGCAACCTTTAAAAAAATCAATGTTCATTTATTTGCACAATAATACTTTTATGTAACGTCCACTATCGTCCGAATCGGCAAAAGCAAGTGATAAAATGTGAATGTGGGAATTTAATCTTTCATTGTATAAACGTCGACTAGAAAATATTTATTGAGGAAAAAGAAAATCAACAAATATTTAAATTCACGCTATTTTTGTTGATCGTGATATAAAAGATATAGGTTAATTAGATTACAGTCAAATACTGTTCTAGCCACTGGATTTTGACAGCATTTTTATCAAATTTAGTAGAATGACTCGCGTATAGGTGTTTTTTGAGAGAAACAAAGGTCCCATTTAATTCTATTGTTTCGAGTTTTTGGTAACACATATTTATTAATTTAAAAACAAACGCTTATCATCATTAATTATTATTTTTTTAGATTCATTGATTATTAAAGATTTTTCTCACACATACTGGCATCTCTGAGCATATGTGTGAACCTCTGATAACACAAAGTGATGACGATAATTCAAAAACAGCAGTGCAATGTAAATAATGCTAATAATTTATTTATCATAAAAAATCATCACCAACAAATCGATGTTAAAAAAAATAGCACAATAAATATTATCACTTATCAGATGGTGAAATATAATTGATGATATTTAAGCAATTTTATTTTCAAGGTGTGCAGTAAGTTTTCAAAGATTCGTATGCTGATTTATTTTTCAAAACTTCATATGCATTGTTCATCTGAAAGAGTACATTTTGAATTATGTCCCATAAATTATAAGCATATGGTTAGCAGGGTCGACTTTAAGTGTAAATGGAGGCTTCACGCGCTAGTCAGATAATTTAGTGATATTGTGCGTGCGCTGCCTTTAACCCTTGAGCGTAGAAGTGCGATCAATGGCAATCAGTCATCAGAAAAAATGAAAGTGAGAAATGTTGCAAGATTACATATTAGTTAAAGGAAGATTAGAAATATTGGGTATGTAAGCAATAAAATCATCATGTGATAACCATAATCTTCAAAATAATCAAAGGGTAGTAAAATAATCGAAAATTTGAGTCTTCTTCCGGTGTACAAACTTAAACATTGAGTTTAGTTTTCCTTTTGTAACTGTTATTTTAATTGTTGCCGACCTTACGTTGTATTCC